GTCCGGGAGATTGGTTTTATCCGTGTTTAGAATTATGATTGCTGCAATATGTCCAAATCCATTATTGCTTTTTAATCCTTTCCTTGATTCTCCGGGGAGGCGGAGAGATTGCGGGTTTAATGTCTGTTTAGGATCGGGGGTGTGGCAGGAGCGTGTTATGTCCTGGGGGTGGCGGTGAAGACGTGGATTTGCAAGTTTTTTGGGTTTAATGCAGCGGCTTTGAATTGTGGTCCCGGCGTCTAGGAGTTTGGAGGAGTTCAGTGACAGTCGTTGTTGGATATGAGAGACGCATGATGATGCTGGAGAAGGTACGTAGCGGAGCTGGAGATTGCATTGTGATCTGGCTGGAGTGGATAGGCCTACGGCCTCTTGTTGGAGCCTCGGTCTCGAGCTGACTTTCATGCTGGGCTGGTTGTTGTTAAGACGGGGCTGGTGTTTCATGGAGCGCGGAGCTTTCTTTCTTGTATGTAACGTAGCTGCGCTGATGCTGTTGTGATCTCCGCCGCCGTCGCTGTTGTTGTTGTTTTTGTAATTTTTTGTAGTTGCTGACGATGGTAGTAATGGTGGTGTGGTATTGTAGTTGAAGAATAGTAGATGTGGAGGATCCGTTTTGTCCGTGAGTAACTTTTGGAGGAGCTAGAGCGGACCTGTCGTTTGTTTCTTCGGAAAACGAAGATAAGGGAGTAATGTCTAGCTAGGCTACTTATAGTGGGTTAGGATAGATCTGATTGGCTAACTAATGAGTGTAGATAGGTGGCCAGCTGCTGTCAATTATATCACGTGCTCCTCTCGAAATTAGTTTAAAAACTTCACTTAAAGCAAGAGATAACATAGGATTTTGCATAATATCTGGAAGCTTAACATAATGAGTTAAACATAAGTCCGTTTCTCTAATTAACATTAAGAAAATTACTAAAGATTAATGCAACTCCACCAGCACGACCAGTTTGACGAGCCTCATGTTTATAGAAGAATCCTGGAGGAGTTGCTTAATTTAAGCTAATATAGTCATTTTGTTTCAGCCAGGTTTCAGTGAGACAGAGTGCATTAAGATTGTTTTCTGTTATTATTTCATTAATGATAAGTGCTTTAGGTGCAAGTGACCTGGGGCCTCATGTATCAACGCTCCGTACGCACAAAAACTTTGCGTACGCCAGGTTTCACGCTCAGAATCGTTCACGTTTGGATTTACTAACGATGAACTTAACGTGGGAATGTGCGCAGCTCCACGGCAGCTTTATGGCTGGCGTACGCACATTTTTTGTGCGTGTCTGTTTTATTTTCATTGGCGACTCCTAGAGGCAGTTGTGTTAAATTCCTCTCTACAAAGTGTTTTTGAGCCTTGCAATGGCAGCTGTATGAGACGGGTTCATTAGCAGGTATATAAGATTTTCATACCATACATTTGACCAGCTAAACATTAAAGTGCAATTTGCAGTGGTCGCCTGTTTTCCCAATGTAATCTGAGCTATTTACTGCACACACACTGCTATAAAGACACTATCTGAAGATGAATTTGCATGCGTGAATCACAAACATTTCCATTCAATAAATGTGCAAATAAAATATGATGCACAAACTTATAAATGATTCCTTCTTGTCTTTCTCGTGATAAATAGTTGGCAAAATCTGATATGTAGCGGGGGAAAAAGAAGAATGAGTTCATCAGACGCTGGATTCGAACCGAGTTCATGCTCGAACGTGTCAAAACATGTTAACATGCATTTTTCGAGCTGCGCCACTGAGACTGTTAAGGGTACTCTAACATTTTACACCTATAAATCACACTTATTACTTTTTAATTCACGATGTTCAGACCCAACTGTGTTAACCGCATCAGCTAAACTCTCCACACTCTATTTTTTTCTTTTGTTGTTAATTCCGGAGAACAAACTTGCAAATAACACCACTTTTCTCCGCTCTACCTCCGAAAGCAGCACCTTCAATTCACATTCTGTTCAAAGTTTCTCTTCTTGCTTGCTTTTGCCTTTGCTTTTTCGTTGGGTTTTGCCTTTAGCATAGTCATTAGCATATTCATACGGGGGAGGAGGCAGGGAGGGGTTTTGTGCTCGTGCATGTTGCGCTTAGTTTCACGTTCATTCGAATGTACAAAAGAATATGCGTGAGATTCAGCGTACGCACATTTACAGCTTTGTGCGTACGCAATGTTTTAGTATGATTTCCACACAAGTCTTAGGCCCCATTTACACTAGTGCGTTTTAGTTTTAAAACGGCGTTGTAGAATGAAAACGATCCGCGTCCACACTCGCATTTTACCCAGTGTTTCTGAACAGCTCTCCGTCCACACCAAAACGCTGAAAACGCACATCACGTGACCACACAGACACTCTCGGGCAAGCGCTCCAGCATTTCTACCCAGATGAGAGCTCTGCTTGTCGGACTGCTCATCAAGCATCTCCCGCTGGATCTAATCTCACTATATTTGCTGAACGTGATATTTCATTCATGTTGTTGTCTTTATCTAACGACATAGGCCAATTCCCTGACTTTGGTCATTGGAATCTATTAAGTTACTTGTTCACGGGTAACATGTTTTGGTTAAGCGCAAAGATAAGTTAATGATTAATCCAGGTACATTGACTGATCGCTTGCCTTTATTTCCTACAATGTATAAACTTATTGTATGTTATACTTTTATAATTATCGATTATTAAAACTGATATTCAGCAAAAGAGAGGCTGTGTTTCGTATTTTCACTGAAATTGAAAGGAGGCAGTTGTTATCGGCTCCGTTTTGTTATAAATATCCACACAGTGAAGATGACGCTCATATATGCAGCACGACGCCTCAACATTTCTGCTGTCTGTTAAGTTGCTAATATTAAAAAGAAAATAGGCAGTTCCTTAAATCATGTTTACATTTTATTGTTGAGAAAGTGAAACAACGTAGCCAAGGTGATGTGAATGAAGTTATAAAGTACACTGTTCCCTTTGAAGATTTACCAGTGTCCTCGGTATGTTTTCCATATCAAACTGAGAACGGGGAGACTGCAGCCTTGATCAAACTTGCGAAGTCTGAACTGACAAGAAGAGGATGCGAGACTGAACTGTGTGTGTGGGCTACTTAATATTGAGGAAAAGCCCCAATCAGATAGGCGAACGTTTGCAGCCCCGCCTCCGTTTTCAGATGTCTCCGTCTTTCCCCATCCACACTGAGACGGAGCAGCAGCGTATTAGAATGAAAACGGCCTCTCCAGCGTTTTCAAAAAGCTCCGTTTTCGGCGCTCGAGAACTCCGGCGTAGTGTGGACGGATGGCGTAACCGTAGCAAAACTCATGCGTTTTCAAACTGAAACGCACTTGTGTAAACGGGGCCTAAGTACATGAGGTACAAGATGTTTAGGAGACCAAGCTTTACAAAATTTGTATTTTAACTTTTTACCGGTTTTTCTGGTTTGATTCTTAATAGATTATTTCTAGAGCACACAGTACGTTTGTTTCTTGATCTGATAATACGAGACAGTCTCTTTGGGGTTAGCCGGATATACATTACTGATGTTTAAGTGGGACGAACAAGAGTCTATGTCGATATAATGTGGATTTTGTGAATTTTTACTTACTAGTCAGACGGAGTGAAGTTATCTGGAGATGTTGTCCGACAGGAGTTCAGCTCCGGCTCGACTGGGGTGCAGAAAGATTCCAGTTATTAGCAAAGAGCAATTTCTGTTTTTTACACCATGTTAATAACCATTCATTCAGAGCAAAAAGTCTACTGAACCTTTAATTTCCTGGGCGGAAGGTAGGAAGCGACCCAGAAACGATGATCTGCGTGGCGGGCGAGGTGCGTTGAATCGTCTCCATCAGGCTCCTCCAGTCCTTCTTCAGGATCTCCGTCTGCCGGAGCCCAGTGTAGTACATCCCCTCGTGGAGGACGACGGCACCAGGGCTTTCGGCAGCGCCCAGGATAGTAGGTATCTGTGTAGAAATATTCTTAACGCGGGCACCAGGAAAGCAGAAAGTGCGTACTTTGTTACCTTTGGAGGCGGCAGCGCGGACATGGCGACTGATTGAGTCGCTGATGATGGCCACATCTCAACCTGGAGAGGGGAGAAGCGGTTCTCCGTGGAGATCTCGAACATGGAAGGAGGAGACAATCTGCTCCAGGACCTGGCAAGCACCTAACGCGGCTGCACCCAGGGGCCGTGGTAACTGGGTGTCGCGTCCTCGGTGCGCTGGGCCTGGACAGAGAAACACGTGGAGTTGAGGTAGAGGGAGTGATGTGGTTGTATCTTCCACTTATCTTAGATGATGAGGCGGCCCTAACGTTAGGTACAACAAGCAGAGCTCGTTGTTCCCGCAGCCGCATCCGCCTCACCTCGAGGGTGCGATTCTGGGACTCCACTGCTTCCAGCTTCAACGCCTTAATCGATGCTTCTTCTGCATTTAAGGATAGACACACAAGCGACATTGTACAGGGTGAAGAGCAAGGCCAGCAAGTCAAAAAATGAGTGTAGGGAAGAGGTTGGTAGCTTTAGCTGACCAGCGGCTCTAGCAGGCTAAAGCTACAAACAACAGTTTTAGATATGTAGATTACATACATTTAACAAACTTTAAATTTTTCTGAACCCTTCACATAAAAGTTAGTCTATAGGCTTTAAGATACACCCTTTAATAAACGATCAATACATAAATATTCTTATGCTCATGTGTTACATTCTTATATTTTCCTATTTTCATATATAGTTAGCTGAAACAAAATTTAGAATACAGAAAGTTTCACATATTAAGTTAATGATTGTCAACAGATCAAATGAAAACAGTCTAGACAACAATAAAGCGTAATTAGTGTATGCCTTTTATTTTGAACTTGCACCCATGATTTCATTGGATTTTTCCATAGGAATCAGTACTAAGCCTTCAAATGTCTTTATCCTCATAATTTTTTAAAAAGTTCACAGCATTGAGTCCAAACTGTAGAATGAGATGTGACATATTTGGGTTTTTATTTATCTTTGCATGATGTGTTGTTTTTATGTTTCAGAGAGAGAGCTGAGGATTGTTCTTCTGGGAAAGGATGTTTTAGAAAACAGCCGAGTCAGAAACTCAATTCTGGGAACAGATGTGGATGAGAGTGATCTATATACATCTGTAGAGCAGCACGATGGGCTGAAAAAAAGCGGAATGGTGAATGGCATACATGTGACGGTCATTACCACTCTTTATCTGCTTGATCCAGACACTTCAGATGATCAGATCACAAAGACAGTCAGAGAGTGTGCAGAAATATCTGATCCAGGACCTCATGTGTTTATACTCGCACTACAGTACAAAGACTTCACAGAGGACGACGTAATAAGAGTCAAACATGTGCTCAGCAAATTCAGTGAAGAAGCGATTAACCACACCATCATCATCATGACTGATAAAGAGACACACCACTCACACATGAACACAGCTATTTCCCAGTTAATAAATGTGTGCAGAGGAAGACATTTGCTGCTTGAAGAGGGGAAACCAGATTGGCCTGCTGAGATCTTTAATAAAATTGATATGATGCTGAAGTATACCAAAGATTACTATGTCACTTGTGAGCTATATGAAGATGCCAAAGAAGTGTCTGAGGAAGAAGAGCAGCGCAGATCTTTGCGTTCATCCAGATCAGAAGTAAACAAGCATCTTTCTTATCACGATGATGATGGAAAATCCTTACAGAGCAAAAGAAGTGAAGAAACTTTAGGTAAGTTTTCAGAATGTCTGTGTCTATATAGATCACATTTTAAGAAAAAAAAAATTCAAAGAAAGCTTCCAAGTATTTTTAAACAAGCCATCCTGAGAGTCACTCCATTAGGCTATGACTAGTTTGAATTTTAGTTGTGATTTTGTTGCTGTTGTGTGTTAATATCTCTACTTCAGTGGCTCATTTTCACAGACATGACAAAAGCAACATACATAAAATGTTTTTACTTCTATAATCTAAAGGCTAGTCAGATTGTTAAAAGTCAGTGATTAATCATTTCACAGAACCACGCAATGAGTAAATGTAATCCACTATACATTGTTGAGCGACAGGTTTTATAAGGAAACACCCTGACTTATAAAACAACATAAACTACTCAAACTTTTAAAATTGTCTTTTCTGCATATGTCTTGTGTGACGTAATGTGACTACGTAATTTTGTAATGTTGCTTCCCAAAGCTATTGCAGGATGAGCTTTTGTGACCAATAATTAAAAAAAAAGATTGTTTTTAAGAAAATGACAATAGCCCCTTTCACATAGTGATACTGGTAAACAACTTCACTGGTATATTCATACACGGCACACGTGACGCGTCACGCAACTGAAGGAAGCAGAGCTTGAAGGTAAACAAACAGTGGTTTACCATAAACATCTTATCGATAAAATCTTAACACAGTCGGCATTAGGAAGGAACATAAAAACTAAGGGTGTCACGATCCTCCAAATCCTCGATTCGATTACATTTTCGATTCTAAAGGCACGATTCGATTCCATTTTCGATTATGAATAATTAATTAATTAATGACCAATTCATTATTTGTAGCCTACCGTTTAAACTGCCTGACCTGCATGGTCTTTGTTTTACCCGTAAACAAATCATACAGTAAATGAATAAAGGCAAGACACACACATAATTACCACCTGTCAATCACTTTTTCTGCGGGACTCGTGAATAGGCAGTGATCTGTGTCGTTATAATGGCGTCGGTAAAAAAGACGCACAACCAACAGAAACCCGCCAACAGTATCTGAGGTGTTCGCTAAAATGACTAAGTACAAGTGGGTGAAAGATTGAAGCAGTCCTCTGACTGCCTGGACCTGCTGTCTCGAGCGCATGGCTGTGAGTGCGTCTGTGTCTGTGTGGTCACGTGATGTGCATTTTCAGAGGTAGAGAGGAAGGTGGGCTGCTCAGAAATGCTACACGGCACTGTGGATGTCAAATCGTTGTTGTTCTAAAATGCCATTTAAAAACAAAGACAGTGTAAACAGGGCCTGAGTGTGAACTTTTCGCGAGCGGATTTGCAACGGGGGCGGGCGGAGGATCGCGATGCCGGTGTTGTCTATCGGACGAACCGTACGTAATACGTGCATAGCAGAGCTTGCAAAACTGTGTTTTTTTGTTGTTTTTTTTGTCGACAACACGAACGTTGTCAACATAACTCACTGGAAATCCAAAATGCTTAAACACCGGCGACTTCATTGAAAGAGGAGAGGGTTTAAGTTCTGTCGACGGGTCTCCTGCTTCTGCAAGCACTTCAACAAGCCTGTTTTTTTCCCGCTTGGCAAGCCAAGCTAACATGACATGGGGCGTGGCAGCATCGACGATTTTATGTTTTGATTCGATAATCGAAATTGAGCATAAATTTCGATCGATTTCGACACCCCTAAAAAAACATTATCTGACTAACATCTAGCAGCTAAATGTGTCTGGAAAAATATTCAAAGACTTTTATTCTCATAAACCGCGCTGATGTGAATGTGTAAAGTGTTCTTATTGGCTAAAGTAGACATCACATGTCAGTGCGTACTAGACGTAAGTGTGCACTTTCCAGCAGTCTTCCTTCTGCGTTCACACAGCGCAGCATTCCGGCAAATTACCGGTAATATTACAACTTCTCTTTCCGAAAAATTCCTAGGACAAATTTGATATATTTAAAAAGGGCCTGTTCACATATACAGACCTTTCCGGAAAATTTCCAGTAATTTTCCGCAAAGGTCTGTATGTATGAAAAGGGGCTATTAAGACCCTTCTCTGTTGGGATCATTAGGGTCTGAATCTACATTTAAATTACATTTCAGAAGTTTAAACCAGAGCACCATACTGCCATGCAAATGCCAATAGTAGTAGCTCCGTTTTTAGGCATTTGTTATTAATATTTTTGATTAATTCAGGATCTCCTTTATCACATGGACATCTGGGTATGGCGAAAATCATGAAATGAGTGCCACACAATTAACTTGCTACAGCATTTATACACTGTAAACTTACTTAAAATACTTACTTTTTTATTTACTTACTGTAAATTACTTTTTTTTTTTTTTTACAGTTGATATACGAGAGTGGATTCGTACCAGCTGTAAGTAGATTAAACTATTAGGAGTGAGTATTTTGCTTTGTATTTGTGTGTTTAATAAGTTCATTGTCTTTTTATGTTTTCAAGTGCCAAAATATATCTCTGGAAAACAGAAGCTGAATCTGGTGCTGTGTGGAGGTAATGGATTGCTTAAAGTCTCAGTGTCCAAACTTTTACGAGGAAAACCGATCAGTACATCACACCAGAGATCAAGCAGTGAAGATTTTTATAAGAAAGAGGAGAAGATTGATGGTCGTCAGGTCAGTCTGCTGGAGCTTCCAGCTCTCAGTCGTCTCTCAGAAGATGAAGTGTCCAGTCAGACTCTCCACTGTGTGTCTCTCTGTCATCCTGGAGTTCATGCTTTCCTCATCATTGTTCCTGTTGGACTACTGACTGATGGAGACAAACTGGAAGTAGAGAAGATCCTGAATATATTTAACACCAAGCAGCATATCATAGTGATATTTATCAGTGATGGCACAATTAAAAGTCCAGTGAGAGACTTCAAATCCAACCCAGAATTTCAGAGGCTGATCAGTCATTGTGGAGGTCTGTACTGTGTCATGGGTCTAAAAGAACCTGCAAGGTCAAGACAGGTCCCAGAACTGCTGGAGTATATAGAGAAGATGAAGACTAAAACATATTCGACTCAGATGTATGTAAAAGCTCAGGAGAACAGAGGCAGACGTGAAGCAGAGGAGAAATATAAAGAAGAAGTGAAGAGACTGGAGAATATAATCAAAGAGCTTCAAGAGAAGGGTCAGTCAGGTGAGTGTTTTTTAAGCTTCTGCATATTCATCGTATGTAGCTATGTTTCTCTTGCAAGTCTGGTCATGTAGAATGGTAGCTAGATTTCCTAAATCCACCAATGAATCTTTGAGTTGGTTCTTTTCTCGGCCAAGTAGGTCACAATATCATTTACGTACAGAAAAAAATAAATTTGCCTGACCTAATCTTGATAAATCAGTCAATTAACTATATAATACAATTAAACAATCCATGAATTCTATTGAAGTCCAGATGTTTCGGAAGTTGTGTGAGCTAATGAAGCATTAATATCCCAAATGCCAGCATTGAAGTTGCACATGAGTTGACTCATTTTTCTGTCATATTCAGAGTTTACTCAATTGCAGGATGTCACTTGTAACGGTGGCCCTACCTTTAACTCCAAGTAGATAATATTAGGGGGTCACGATCCTCCAAATCCTCGATTCGATTACATTTTCGATTCTAAAGTCACGATTCGATTCGATTTTCGATTATGAATAATTAATTAATTAATGACCAATTAATTATTAGTAGCCTACCGTTTAAACTACCTGACCTGCATGGTCTTTGTTTTACCCATAAACATATTATACAGTAAATGAATAAAGGCAAGATACACACATAATTACCACCTGTCAATCACTTTTTTCACTTTTTTCGCAACCAGATTTGCAACTATCATCCCAACCGTGATACGTACATAGCAGAGCTTGCAAACTGTGTTTTTTTTTTTTTTTGTCGACAACACGAACGTTGTCAACATAACTCATTGGAAATCCAAAATGCTTACACACCGGCGACTTCATTGAAAGAGGAGAGGGTTTAAGCTCTGTCGACGGGTCTCCTGCTTCTGCAGTTTAACAAGCACTTCAACAAGCCTGTTTTTTTCCCGCTTGGCAAGCCAAGCTGACGTGACATGGGGGCGTGGCAGCATCGACGATTCTTTTTTTTAATTCGATAATCGAAGTTGAGCATAAATTTCGACCGATTTCGATTAAAAATCGAATCGTGACACCCCTAGGTAATATTTTCATTTTCGTTTGGGTGCCAGACGAAAAAAATCTGTCAATTTTACAAATTTAGCCCCGATAAGGCGAGGCAGTGGCGCAGTAGGTAGTGCTGTCGCCTCACAGCAAGAAGGTCGCTGGTTTGAACCTCGGCTCAGTTGGTGTTTCTGTGTGGAGTTTGCATGTAAAACCGGGTGCTCTGGTTTCCCCCACTGTCCAAACACATGTGGTACAGGTGAATTGGGTAGGCTAAATTGTCCATAGTGTGTGTGTGAATGTGTGTGTGTGGATGTTTCCCAGAGATGGGTTGCGGGTTGAAGGGCATCCGCTGCGTAAAAACTTGCTGGATAAGTTGGCGGTTCATTCCGCTGTGGCGACCCCGGATTAATAAAGGGACTAAGCCGACAAGAAAATGAATGAATGAAAAGCCCAGATAGCTGTAAGTCACCGACTACAAACTATACTAAACATAACAAACAAAATACACAAAACAATTTTACACACACACACAGACCCACACAGGGCTGTTTCATTATTCTTTGCTCCTACCCAATCAGTGAAGACCACAGACACCTGCATCGTGAAATGCTGAGTTTTATTTTCTTCCATTCAGCATGTGGTATGAACTTCCATTAAAACAACACTCTTCCAGCAGTTCATAGTCACATCCAATATCTCGCTTGTCATGGGGGGCATGCATGAAATGTTCCTGAATGAAAGTGAAAGTGCCAAACTGCAAAGTTGACAAATTAAAAATGAAACATCCAGAACTACATGAAGCTCCGGAGGAAACATTGACAGCATGGTGACTCAATGACGTTAATCGCATTATGAGCAATAACATGTAAAATGAGAAAATTAAATGAACACTCAAGTCAAGAAGGAACACAAAGAGGCCAGCTAAATTTCGCTGTTTCTCAAATATTTACAGATGATATGTATTAACAGACCTGTTTGCAGGAATGGTTTGCGATAAAAATAAATGGCTATGATGATCTTCAGCCTTTCACATCCCTACAGTAGACATGCAGGATATTTTCACAATGTGACATGCAGGTCAAAAGGGTGAAAATGCTAAGTGGAGTGGATGCAAACTGTACCTGCTCCATCTGATTATTTGGCTGCAAACAAGTAATTATTAAAAATGTAACACAGCAACTTTTAGTCATTTAAAGGGGAAAAAAATAATTATAGTCATTGCAAAAAGTGAAGTTTAATTGCCTAATACAGACTACATTCATTATAATGGTTTGTATTTCCACTAAATGGTTATGCAACCATGCCAATGAACTCAGCAATAGTAACCAGGGCTTTACATTAACACCCACCAACCCGCCAAATGCAGGTAGATTTCAGCTTTGGTGGGTTAGACAGTCACTCCCACTAGCCACTTTGGCTGGTTGAAAATAAATTTTAAATTGTGGTTTTCTTAAAAGCAGGGTTCGACTATAAGAATGACCTAATATGTGTGCAAATGTGATCTTAGAATGGAAAAACAGCACGACTAACAAAAAATTGCGTTCACGCGAGCAGAAGAAAGCAGATGAATACCGAATGAGAGGATAATCACTCGCGCTAACAGCTGATGTGATGCACGCGACTGTTTAAAGCACGTGCGCGCTCCTGTTTCCTTCCTTTCTTGAAGCACGCGTGCCTGGAACATAAACTGTGATCGAATCTCTTTCAAATAGTCAGGCAAAAAAGTAATGCTAATGCACACACAGTCTTGCTGCTTTCAAGAGCTCCAAATATGTCTTTTTGTAAGCAGTTGCTTTCACTTTGAACAGATTATTAATTGGCCTTAACAGTGTGATCATCCTCCCATTATCACACAGTATGTTTTTCTCCTGCTTTCTTTTGCTTACGGTTATTTTTGTTTATATGGTTTAATTATCATTTTTAACAACAACATTACTTTAATATAAGATCAACTCTTCATTTATGTGTAGTTAACTGGTGATCTGAGAGACCTTTAGCGAGGACAGATTACTGCATATTGTTGGTACATGACAAAAATTATTTTTAAAAGTCAATTGCTTTTCTTTATTTTTTTAAAAGAAATGTTTTGTTAAATAAAACGTATAGTATACAGCTATATTTAGCTTGTTTGACATTTAAAATTTGTGGCTAAGAAATAATTTTTGTTTGGTGTGGTCAGAGATAAATTAGGTAAATCCTTAATTTTGAGTTCTGAAAAGTCATGTGACCCATTTGCTCATACACGACACACAAATTGTGAAATGAATGAGAAGGCATGTGGACATAACACAAAATCTAAATCAAGTAATTTTAACATGTCAAAGCCATGTTTATGCATATAAAAATATTTTTCCAACAACAAAATTGTGGCTAGTGAAAATGCAGAGTGGCTAGTAATGTTGGAAAACTACTAGCCACTGTGGCTGGTGATCAATAAAGTTAATGTAAAGCCCTGATAGTAACAGTATCAGATAGTATCAGTTAATGTTGTTAATTGTAGGTTTTTTATTTATTTTATTATGAAATTAAATGGAAACAGCAGAAATAGAGCTTTATGATGTTAATGGATGTGTAATTTTCAGGTGCTGAATGTGATGATCTCCAGTGTCTGAGGATTGTGCTGATCGGGAGAACAGGAAGTGGAAAGAGCGCAACAGGAAACACTATACTGGGAAGAAATGAGTTTCACAGTCAAACGAGTGCAGATTCAGTTACGACTGTTTGCAAGAAAGGAGTTGGAGAAGTTGATGGTCGATCTGTAGCTGTTGTTGATACTCCAGGACTCTTCGACACAACTCTGCCAAATGATCAAGTGGTGGAAGAAATAGTGAAGTGTGTTTCACTGTCAGCTCCTGGACCTCATGTGTTTGTCATTGTGTTGACTTTGTTAAGATTCACCAAAGAGGAGACAGACACTGTAGACCTGATCAAGAAGATATTTGGTACAAAATCTGCTCAGTTCAGCATCGTTCTGTTCACCAGAGGAGATGATCTCAAAGATCAATCTATAGAGGATTATGTGAAGAGAAGCAAATCTGCAGACCTGAAAAAACTGATCAGAGATTGTGGGAACAGATTCCTGGTGTTTAATAACAATGAACAACAAGACAAAACTCAAGTGATCCGGCTGTTAAAGATTATTGAAGAGGTGAAGAGTAATAATCAGGGTGGATACTTCACTAATGACATGTTTGAGGAGGCAGAGATGTCTATTAAGAAGAAGATGGAGGAAATCATGAAAGAGAGAGAAAGAGAGATTCAGAAACAGAAAGAAGAGTTACAAGCCAAACATGAGATGGAGATGAAGAGACTCGAGGAAGAAAAACAAAGAGCAGAGGAGGAGAAAATAAAAATGGAGAATCAACTGAAAGAAAAAGAGAAAAAACTCAGAGAAGAGTTTGAAGAGAAGGAGAAAACAGATCAGAAGCAGCGAGAGATTGAAAACCAGAAACGGTTAGAAGAGGAAAAACAGCAGAGAGCTGAATATCATCAGAGAATAGAAGAAATGATGAGAGAGATTGAGAATCAGAAATCACAGTATGAACAACAGCAGAAAGAAAGAGAAGAAGAAGACAGAAAGAGAGAAGAAAAATACAGACAAGACCAAGACAAGATGAGAAACGAACAAGAGAAAACTATAGAAGAATTAAAGAGGAAACAAGAAGACGAAACTAAAAAGAGGGATTTAGAAGAGAAGAGGAGGAATGAAGAAGAAGAGGAGGAAAGACAGAGATGGGAAAGAAAAATAAAAGAAGCTGAAAATGAGAGAAAAGAGATTCAAGAGGAAATTAAACAACAGCAGAGAGAATGGGAGGATGAGATGAAGAGAAGGTTGAGAGAACGAGAGGAAGAAGAAAGAAAAAGAAAAGAGAAACACGAAGAACAACTAAGAGAAAAACAAGAAGAACTGGAGAAAATGAGAAAGAGATTTGAAAGAGAAAGAGAAGAAGAACAACAGAAGATGGAGGAGGAGAGACTGAAACAGAGAAGAGAAAGAGAAGAAAAGGAGAGAGAATATGAGGAAAAGAGACAGGAGACAAAGAGACATTATGAACGACTGGAACGAGAGAGAAAAGAGGAGTGGGAGAGAAGAAAACATGAAGATGAAGAGAGACGAGAAGACGAGAGAAGGAGATGGGAGAAAATGTTGAAAGATCTGAAAAGAGAGCAGGAAGAGGAGAAGGGTAGGAGAGAAGCAGAGGAGAAAGACAGACAAAAGAGAGAAGAGAAAGATAGAGAGGAAATGAAACAGAAACATGAAGAGGAAATGAAACAGATAAAGAAGAAACATGAAGTTGAGGCCAGAAGACAAGCAGAAGAACTGAATGATTTCAGAGAGAAAAAAGAGCAGCACATTCAGGAGCTCAAAGAGAAGCTGGAGGCACATCAGAAACAGCGGGAAATTATGGAAAAACTCTACCAGCTCCTACAGCTCCAGAAATGGTATCAGCAAAATCTGAAAAAAGATGTTGGGACATTTCGTGAACGCCTGCATGTGGAGAAAGTAGATGAACTAAACAAGCTACAAGAAGAAGTTGAACGACAGCTTGAAGAACAGCGGAAAAAACCAGATTGTGTAATAATGTAATTTATTATTCATAGCTAGCAATAACCATAAATAATTGTTTGTAAAACTATGTTTGTAAGTAGGGGTGTATTGATATTACAAACCGAACCGAAATATTGCGATACACCAACGACGATACATATTGCAAAACTCTCGTGGAGTACCGTGGTACTCTCATGTCCCCTGCTGTCTATTGTTGAGGTTGACATCTCTAACTAACTGAACCAATTTAAACATCTTTATTTAATCACATTTGATTAAATTGTATTAGTAATGATGAGCTTTTGTTCTAAATATTATATTCTAAAGTTAGTATTTTCCAAGTGCATGTCATGTGACTTGAGTGAGCAATCACTCGTTACTACTGTATACTTCACATAGTATTGAGATTGCAGATCCCCCAGACACATTTAAGCTGTCTGTGTGGGAACATTTTGGTTTTCAAGTGGAGTACAGGAATGGAATTTGTGTTGTAGACAAAGCACATGCCTATCTGTCAGAACTGTTACACGAAACTTACTTATAGGGAAAAACATTTAAAAAGTGTGGTAATTTCACAATGCGAGGGTGTAAGCAAAAGACTGAGAACAGAACAGCCAACAACAGTGATTTAATGTACAAAAGTGAAACCAGAATAATGCCCAAATATATACAAAAAAGAGAAACATTTACACTAATAAACATAATATAATAAAGTAGCAAATTCAAACAAAATATCAAACAAAAAATAGTTTAACTCAGGAGTAATGGGGCAAAAGCGAAGCCCAAAAAAAGTAATAAAACAATTCTAATTGTAAAGGTGTTCAGCGCCGTGCGCCGTATTCTTCCCTATACTGAACTGTAGTATAAGCTTGCAGCTGCTATCCGTCACACTTGCAGCTGCTATCCGTCAAAACAGTTATATTAAAGAAATTCAAACATCAAACATACAACATAAAATAAGTCTTTATGCTGATGACATATTATTATACTTACAAAATCCCCAAACATCATTACAGGAAACAATAAAACTTATTGATACATTTTCAAATATCTCTGAATACTCAATCAACTGGAATAAATCTGCTATACTCCCATTAAATTCCAGCAGTGTGGATGTGACATCCCAAACATCACAAATCCCTCTGTGTACCAACTACATCACATATTTGGGTAACAATGTTTCCGCCAGGCTGTCAGAATTGTTTGCACTTAACTCTACTGCGATACAAAAAAAAAAATTTGATGACGATCTTCAACGCTGGATGAACTTAACACTATCCATCATGGGCAGAATATCAGTAATGCTTTGGTTACTAAAGTAACCCTCGTTCCCAGAGGAGGGGAATGGAAATGCTATTTGTGGATTTATTCATAATCCACGAATGGGAGATTTCGTTTCAGAAAGCCAATTGTCTGAAAGAGTATATAACGGGCCACTGAAATGCCAAATGAATTGGCAGCATAAGCTTGCACACCTGGAACTTATTGCCAATTATCTCCGCATATAAGCACAGGTGAAGCAAGGAAACGCCATCCTTTTAAGCTGAAGAGACTGACACTTACAGCCAAGGAATAGTCATTATGGCAATGCTAAATAGAGGGTTACTTTAGTAACCACAGGGTTCCCCTTCGGATGGGGAACTTCAATGCTATTAGTGGATTTATTCACAATTCATGAATGGGGGAATGTATGGAAAACGGCATAATGACTGCACCCTACCTTTACCTCCGATGAGAGAATAGCCAGGCATAGCGTGAACGCTCCTACATCAAAGATAGGCGTGGTCCTCCAACATGGTCCCTGGCCCCTACTTATCCCACTTCAACAGAAGTTTTACGGATTTAGATATATTATTTGGGAAGTCGCAAGCGTCTAGATAATTAAAGGAAAATACGACAGTACGTTGGGAAAGCGTGCAGTTCCGATAGGAAGGACGCTGCGGAGGCCATCTGCTACCCAATGGGGAGATATGATGGCAAAAATACATATGGACTAGCCCTGAGAAGGGGGAGTACGCATATAATAAGATGGTCCGCTTGTAAAGGGGGACTGAACTGTGGCTGAAGAAGCTTATGGGATCGCCTAGTGGGGATCACGCATAGCGGGCACCTATACCCAAAACGCGGGCTGACCAGCGGGCAGACCTACAACATAGTGGGCCAGCAAGTGACTCCTCCGCTGAGTCAGTGCTGGGGGCCACGGAGGAATCTGCAATGTTCACCTAACGAGGAACTTTACTGACAGATAAAAAAGCGCACGTATCTCCGTGTTAGGGAGAATGGCGCAGCAAGTGTGTTTCAACACCTTAGCTTCCTCAATCACCAAGGGTTACCTAATACCCTTGAGGAAACCGGCTCCACATGCAGATTGTAAAACCTTGCAAATGTATTAGGTGTCGCCCAGCCCGCGGCTCTACAGATGTCTTTTGCGATGCTCCGAGTGGAGTGCGCACACACTCTCGGGGGACACGGCTCGCCTCTGATAAGCAAGAGAGATGGCATCCACAATCCAGTGGCCCAACCTTAGTTCGATACGGCACTTCCCTGCTGCCGACCGCCATAACAGACGAAGAGATGCTCAGATGATCTAAGCTCTGAGTGCGGTCCAGATAATATGCAAAGCGCGAACTGGTCAAAGTAAGGATAGGGCTGAGTCTGCCTCCTCTGGGGGCAGCGCTTGCAGGCTCACTAACTGGTATTAAAATGGAGTGGTAGGAACCTTAGGCACATATCGCGGTCGGGGTCTCAGGAACGTGAGAGTAAGCCAGCCCAAATTACAGGCACGGGTCACTGACCGAAAAATGCCTCCAGGTCCCCGACCCTCTAAATCAATATCAATGCGACCATCAGAGCTGTCTTCAGGGACAGAATCTTAAAGATACTGAGTCGAGGATCGAAGGGATCTGACACAGGCTCATGAGAACGAGGGCGAGATCCTAAAAGGGCAAGAGAGGGGGGCGGGGTGGATTAATAGCGCCTCTGAGGAACCAGATGATGAGGTTATGCGTTCCCACGGTGTTGCCAGCCACCGCGTCATGAGAGCGGAGATGGCAGCCACGTATTCTTGAGTGGGCTAAATCAGCCAGTCGTCGAGATAATTGAGTATGCGGATGCCTGCGAGCCGAAGGGGTGCTAAGGCACCCTCTGCGAGCTTGGTGAGGACCCGCGGAGACAGAGAGAGCCCGAAGGGTAGGACTTTGTATTGCCGAGCTCGACCTTCATGCGCAAACCACAGAAACTGATGGTGACGAGGAAGAATGGAGACATGGAAATACACGTCCTTTAGGTCTATGGCTGCAAACCAATCCAGAGGACGAACGCACCAGAGAATGTGCTTCTGCAAGAGCATTCTGAATGGCAGCTTGTGCAGACAGCGGTTCAAAACGCGCAGATCTAGGATTGGCTGTGACCCACCGCTCTTTTGGGCACGATGAAGTGTGGGCTGTAAAACCCGCTCTCCATCTCGGCTGGAGGGAGCGGCTCGATTGCATCCTTCGCCAGGAGGACAGCAATCTCCTCTCGTAAGACAGGAGCAGACAGGAGGCTGACCCTGGTGAATACACACCCGTGACTTGGGGGGCCATTTCGCGAACTGAATCACATAGCCGAGAGGGCCTGTCAACTTTGGGGCTATATATATATATATATATATATATATATATATTTTTTTTTTTTTTACATACCAGTTCTTCCCCGGACCATTCATTGGATTTAAAAATAACAAGCATAAGAACGGGAGGGGGAGAGAAAAGGGACAGGAAGAAAAAGAGAAAGACTTAGGAAAAAAGGGGGAAGAAAAAGAAAAAAAAAAAACTCCTACTTGCATATAATACATTCATAGGGTAAGTGTGACATGGACATGGCAGCCTGGGCATTGCACTGGACTGATCCATGCTACACGTCACACTTTTTGAATGCATCACAAATCAACTGACACACACTATGTTGATTATAATACTTCCACCTCCTCAAACTATTGTTAAAGCTGTTTTCGTTTAGTTATTATTATTATTTTTTATTATTATTACCAGCATTTATTATGGTGTTTTTTTTTGTTCATTGTTTTGATTGCTGCACTTTCTTTCAACTCCCTTTTCTTTTCTTTTTTATTTTCTTTCTCTTACCCTTTTTTTCCTCTCTTTCCTCTTCTACTTACTACTATTATTATTATTATTATTATTATTATTATTATTATTATTATTATTATAATTATTATGTATCCTCTCCCTGAATTCCCAACCTCCCCTCACCTAGTCACTTTTATCATTAGTGGTATTACTTTTAATTTTGTTATCATTATAATTACTGTTTTCACTTGTCCTCCTGTTATCTCCTCATTATCATTATCATAAATATTTATATCATTGTCGTTATTAAAGTTGTTGTAGTTGTTGTTGTACAAGTAGTAGAGGTAGTAGTCATAGTAGCAGTATCAATTGTAGTTGTGATTATTGAAGTAGTAGTTTCTGTAGTAGTTGATGTCGTTGGTATAGTGGTATCAGAAGTAGTAAAGGTGTTGTAGTAGTAATAGTAGTAGTAGTTGTTGTTGGTGGAGTAGTATCAGTAGTAGATGTTGTCGATGTAGATTTTGTAGTAGCAGTAATTGCAGTAGTAGAAGTCGTTGTTGGTGTAGTAGTATCAGTAGTAGATGTTGTTGATATAGATGTTGTAGTAGCAGTGATTGCGGTAGTAATGTGAGTGGTAGTAGTAGATATTGTTGTAGTAGTATTAGTTGTAGCAGAAGCTGCAGTAGTAACAGTAGTAATAGTTGTCGTAGTAGTATCATAATAGATAGACATTGTAGTAGTAGAAGTTGTGGTTGTGGCTGTAGTAGCAGTAGTAGTAGTTGTATTTTTAGTAACTTTTAGTAGTAGTAGTTGGTGTAGCACTTGTGATTTATTATTATTGTTGTTGTCAGTTATTATTACTATTGTTTTTTTCTTTCTTTTTACTGTCATTATTACTATTATACATTACTTGCATCATTTTTAATTTTTTACCACTGAATGGTTTCTTTCTATCTGTTTTATTTATATCTGTGATATTTGCTTCATTTATTGTCTGTTATTGTACCTTATGTATTTACTATGTCCACCAAGTTACCTTCACACACACATGCACAAACACACACACACACACACACACACACACACACACACACGCACCTACCAGTACCTGACTGTTGTTGTTGTTTTGTTTTGTTGTTTTCGTTGATGTTTCTTTGTATTCGTATGATCCTAATTTATGTACCTTTTTGCATATTCTAATAAAATAAATAAATAAATAAATAAATTAAATACAAAGATGATGATCACCTCTTACCTGATGTCTTTAACAATACATTTTCTACGTGTTTGCAAAAAGGAAGTGGTACGACTTCTTCCTTATCCACCTTACTTTGAGAAAAGAGTGACGTTGAGGAGGTATAGCTCAATATTGTAAGCAAAGAGCTGAGCCAAAAAGTAACAAACAAATGAATCTAAATAAAAATGTAAGAAACTCACAATTTCTCAAAGTGGGCCCAAACGAAAGTTAAGCAAAAACAACGAAAATCATAATCATGTCAGCAAAATACACGAAAAACCAGATCAAACGAAAAAGCGCTCTCTCCCGCTCTTGCTGACATCTCACCCACATTTGGCCCAAATGTTCTTGCTATCTGGGAATATCAACACAATATTAATATCTAATAAGACAAAAAAATTGCACAAAAAATAATAACAAGTGAGAGACTGTTTAGATGATGATGAAGATGTCTACTGTATGATGACTGAAATCATGGTCTCCCAAATGTGAGAAGTGATATTTGCTTAATAAATGATCAAACATCTGCTCTATGTGGTGTTAAGCATACGGTATATGTTCTGTGTAATCTAAAATTAATAAATTATTTTGTCTATAGTCTACTTATCCTGTAAGCTCATAGTTAAAGGTGCAGTAGGTGATCTTCCACAATGCTAACAGCTTAGCATAAATCTCTAAATTACAGTACCTCCTGTGCCGTCTATAGCCACGCCTCCTGTGACAGGAGCACAGCAAAAGAACTCTCTCTTATGTTAAAAGCGACTAGTGCTTGTCCGGCGGCGTGCAAGCCAAACTAACATGCTATTTCAAAGTGAATATTAGAGTTGCATGTTAAACAATATAGGGAGAGAGACTAGGCGGAATAGCGCTATTTACAGTACTTGTGTTTTGTTGTTAAACTAATTAAAATCTACATTATCGATGCTGTAAAAGGACCTTATGAAACTGGAAATAGTCTTATCAATCTTTCATCAGAAGATTTTAGTGGCTGAACAACACTTCTGTGAAGATATAACTCGTTTGTAACAACAACATCTAACATAACATCAGCTTTGCGTGAAGCTAAAACAGTTTTAAAACAGAACGTTACCTGTAAGAAAAATCCTTCAGCCATGGTGTCATCCTTTCTCCAGCGTGTATAAGTAACTCCAATATTGATTCGGGTTTTTTAAAAGTTTTGATTCAGCAGGTTTTTACAGATTGCGCGCATGCTCTCTCGTGAATGCGTGGTGGTCGGCGAAGCTGCGTACAAACGGCTGTGCAGTTGTTCAAATCTGCACTTGCTGACACAGATTGGGCTATCTTATCGGAACTATGAGAGATGACGGCCCGACTCTATTTAATTGGATGAATGTCTTTTAGTTTTATGCCTTACCCAAAATTTAAAAATACATATGAACACATTTAGATAATTTACTGTAATCATTACTATTGGACTGTGAAGAGACTTTCAACCAGCACAACAACACATGCTTCTGAAGACAATCACCTACTGCACCTTTAAAACTTAAAATGTAAATGAAATGTAGGTTAAAAATTTGTCTATTACAGTGTATTACAGTATTTTCTCAAACTTTTTTCACCAAGTACCACCTTAGAAAAAAATTCTCTCTCCAAGTACCACCTTACGACGCTATTTTTTAACCAGTATTAAAAAATAGCGTCGTGGGCCTAATTAAGCAGCTACAGGTGTGCACAGTTTAAAAACGATGCAGATTAATTCGTATTATTAAGAATATGTTTTATTATCAGTCACTTTAAACATGTTAAATAGTCTAAACATTAACTGTGCTTGCAGGTAAAAAAAAACAAAAAAACGTTTTAGTTAAAATGTGCTTTTAAGAGTTCATTAAAAAATGGCGCTGTTCTTAAAAAGTAAGAAGAAAACTGCTGCACTTAAATCTAAAGTATTCATAGTAGCCTATTCATCAAAAGCTGGAAATGTTACTTGGACCTCATAAATATAGGCTATATGACATATTCCTACACTTTCAGACAAATCTTGAAATATATGTTAAATATACATATGACAGGGTTCATACAGGCACAGCCTAATGAAAATCAATTCCAGCACCTATTTTTTTTATTCAAGACTGACATGCAATGTATTGAAGACTTGAAAAGTATTCTCAGCAACCCATCAAACATTGCATAGGAATCGATACAAATAAAAAACATTAATAATAAAATTTATTAACCATATATTAATAATATAATAAACCTGCACTAAATGCTTGTGAAATCTTTTTTGTTCTCAAGTATAAATACTATTACACTGCTAAAATAAAACAAATTTTAGTAAATAATACTAATATTAGGTAAACGTACAAAGTACTCTTTTAAAAAGTACTAGTTGGTTACTTTTAAAAAAAAATCTGATTTTCAGTATGAAATCACTTTTTTTAAGTGTAAACCTGATTGAATGGTTTAATTGCTTAAATCCCAAAGCTACATGTATAATTTGCACTAAGAAAGAAAGTATGGTCGATTTTTCCTTTCATGACAATTAATCTGGTTCAATAGCACTGGTAAAACTACCAAATAATCTTTAAGGCCATAGAGACACTTTTTGCCCATTTTTTAAACAATATTTTCAAGCTTTGAAAGTTTTAATTAAAGTATATGGTAAAAAGATTTAAATTTAACTTTTTATTTACATATTTTACAATATATATTTTTTTACAATATGACAAATTTGTTTCTTAAAAAGCTGTACATCACATGTAGATTTTATTTTACACTTGATCTTAATCTAAAATAGAAACGTAAAAAAATACAAGTACACTGTCAGTAAAAAAATAAAACAAATGACTTCATTTTACTTGAGGTATTTGAAATATGACGACACTACATTTATCAAAGCAGTGCTTTAAGAGCCTTATTGTTAATTTTGATAAATAAACAATAAGTAACAACGGATTGTTTTAACATGTAATGCTTTAAGACAGATCAGAATACAGCTAAATGTATAAATCACACAAATACCTCATCCAGAAACATTTACAGCATAATTATTTTGTCGTAAAGAAATAAAAAATGTTCCACCTTTGCTAAAAGTAAGTTTCACTTCACAATACAGCCAAATAAGACCATTAGCATTGTCATCCATCATGTATCAATCTATTTCTAAATACTTGATAACTTTGAATACTTTTGACTAAATTTAGTCAAGGAGCAAGGATAAATAATATCTACTTTAATAGTGGAGAGATCGCGATTGTATTCAATCCGAGCACATAGGCGATCATGAGAGGACTTGCAGTTCATTTGGGAAAAAAAGCCTACTTAAGAGCTCGCATATCTGTTTTAGCGATTTGCGTACATGAATGCGCACTCATGTTAAAATAAAGCACTCGCCTCATTTGCAGAAATGAGTTACTGCGCAATACCTCCATTCCCGCGCCGCCTTTCAGACTGTATTTAAAGGAGTGACAGGTCAGAGGCGAGTCGACTGGCTGTCGGAGAGCGAAACGTGTATGTAGATCATCAAAAAGGCAGGAAATATGTCCGCGGTTTAATTACTCTGCTAGACATCTCTATAGTGAAAACATCCGAGAAGCATTATTCCAACAAAACCTTTGTTTTTAAGTTGTTTTTTTCTATCTCTGCAACATAGAATGTCTTTGTACCGCCCTTACGTTTCACGCAACTAGACAAGGTCGACTGTGATTGGCCACTTTTCATGTCAGTCAAATCATGCTTCAGAATCTCGCTTCGGAAACTGATTTTCAGCAGCTTATGACACAAAGCACTAAAATAAACACTCTAAGCACAGCGCTGTTGTAACGCCGGGGAGTGACACCAACAACAGAAGGTAGGATCCAATATGCAGGTTTAATCTTTGTCAGGCAAGCAATGGTCAATACAGGTATGAACAGGTATGTGCGGGCAAATCCAGAGTCGAAGTCAGTAAACAGGCAATGGGTCGAAAGGCAGGCGGCTAAAACGGATAACTAGGATACAAAGCTAGGTTCAGACACGGAGAAACAAGACAGGGAGAAACGCGTTGAAATGTCACTAAACAGTAAACAAGACTCGGCAATGTGAATGAGTGTGTGTGCTGCTTAAATACTGTGTGTAATCAGTCTCTGAAAGTCCTCAGGTGTGAATGTAAATCAAGCTAAATGAGAAAGCAGGTGTGTGGGCGAAGAGCATGTATGAAGTTGTAGTCCAGGAAAAGTGTAGTACTAAGTGTGTGTGTTTACCAGCGACATCTGGTGGTTGTTCGCTGGTAAACATGACAGAGCCCCCCCTCTAAGGAGTGGCTTCCAGACACTCCTAATACTGTTCAGGTGGGAGATGGAGCGGAGGCGGAACAGGGGGAGGGATGGAGGGCCAGGACCATGCAGCGGGGGCGTACCTGGAGCGTGGCGCTGCGGAGGGCCTGGAGCGTGGAGCTGCGGAGGGCCTGGAGCGTGGAGCTGTGGAGGGCCTGGATTATGAGGCTGCGACCATTGAGGAAGCTTAGGTGGCAGCGGCCATTCAGGAAGTTCAGGCGGCGGCCATTCAGGGAGCTCAGGCGGCGGCGGCCATTCAGGAAGCTCAGGAGGCGGCCATTCAGGAAGCTCAGGAGGCGGCCATTCAGTAAGCTCAGGAGGCGGCCATTCAGGAAGTTCAGGCGGCGGCCATTCAGGGAGCTCAGGCGGCGGCGGCCATTCAGGGAGCTCAGGCGGCGGCGGCGGCCATTCAGGGAGCTCAGGCGGCGGCGGCCATTCAGGGAGCTCAGGCGGCGGCCATTCAGGGAGCTCAGGCGGCGGCGGCCATTCAGGGAGCTCAGGCGGCGGCGGCCATTCAGGGAGCTCAGGCGGCGGCCATTCAGGGAGCTCAGGCGGCGGCGGCCATTCATGGAGCTCAGGCGGCAGCGGCCATTCAGGAAGCTCAGGAGGGTCTGGCAGCTCTGGAGGGTCTGGCAGCTCTGGAGGGTCTGGCAGCTCTGGCGATGGCATCAGCTCTTGTAACTCAGGTGATGGTGGCCATTCTGGTGGCTCAGGTGATGGTATTTCAGGAACTGAAACAGGAACTATGGCAGGAACGGACAAGGAACAGGAAACCATCTTGTGAGCAGGTGGCAGTTTGGCGCTTACCACATTGTGAGCTGGAGGGCTGGTTGTGACCACATTGGGAGCTGGAGGACTGGAGTCGGCCATCTTGTGAGCTGGAGGACTGGAGTCGGCCATCTTGTGAGCTGGAGGACTGGAGTCGGCCATCTTGTGAGCTGGAGCAGCCATCTTGCAAGCTGGAGGACTGGAGGTGGCCATCTTGTGAGCTGGAGGACTGGAGTCGGCCATCTTATGATATAACTGATGCTCAGGCGACAGGAGTGATGGTGATGCCAGCATTAATGTTTCAGTGGGGTGTACAGCAAGCCCTTTTGTCATCTGGTCTTGCTGTACACTGCCCCCCCCCCCCAAAAAAAAACATTTAGGAGTTTCCTCCACCTCGCCTATGGTGAAGGGCGACCCACTAAGTTGTAGAGCCAGATCAATGTACAACTCAAGTGTCCAATGGGGGTCATGCAGTGGCATTGTGGAGTACAGAGGTTCAGATAATCCTCTACGAAAAAATATCATCAGGCATAAATCATCCAAAGATGTTAAATGGGCTACCTGGATGAAGTCCTCCACGTATTCCTCTATAGACCGGGCTTCCTGACGCAGACACATGATCTTGATACCCGCTGAATCCATTGTGTGGCCGAGTCTTCTGTAACGCCGGGGAGTGACACCAACAACAGAAGGTAGGATCCAATATGCAGGTTTAATCTTTGTCAGGCAAGCAATGGTCAATACAGGTATGAACAGGTATGTGCGGGCAAATCCAGAGTCGAAGTCAGTAAACAGGCAATGGGTCGAAAGGCAGGCGGCTAAAACGGATAACTAGGATACAAAGCTAGGTTCAGACACGGAGAAACAAGACAGGGAGAAACGCGTTGAAATGTCACTAAACAGTAAACAAGACTCGGCAATGTGAATGAGTGTGTGTGCTGCTTAAATACTGTGTGTAATCAGTCTCTGAAAGTCCTCAGGTGTGAATGTAAATCAAGCTAAATGAGAAAGCAGGTGTGTGGGCGAAGAGCATGTATGAAGTTGTAGTCCAGGAAAAGTGTAGTACTAAGTGTGTGTGTTTACCAGCGACATCTGGTGGTTGTTCGCTGGTAAACATGACAGCGGTGATCGTACGCTTCACTAAACAGCCAATGCTGATCACATCGATGTTATATTACGCATTAAAGGATTAAAAGTGTTAATTGTTTATTTCATTATTTGGCGATTCCTCCGCGTACCACAGTTTGAGAACCACTGGTCTATTATATAGACCTTTTTTCATGGCTGCTGCGTGGAGGGCGACATAGCGACCAGCGTCTTCCGGTAGAATGCTAAAAACTTCCGTTTACAGTGTGTACAACTGGTAATTTGCGCTCCGAAAATGGGTTTCAATAACGTTTTTAATGGATAACCGAGTGCTTTTGTGACACACAACTTAGAAATGTGTCTGTTAAAGCCGTTATAATCTGTCACATGTGGTTCAAGCGCGTCAGAAATACGAGAAAAACATTCTTCTAGTTCACATGTCTGCCGTCAGAAATACAGTGTGTGCGTTCCCGGCCTGTCAGCTGTTAGCTCAGCGGCTCTTTAACACACACACACACACACACACACACACACACACACACGCACACACACACACACACACACTTATTTTGATGACTGATAGTTTGTTGTAAGTGATGGCATGGCAAGCAAGCTGTCAGTTCCCTCTCTGGCTCTATTCCAGATCTGCATCTGTGTTGTAGCTTGGTCCAGTACCTGACATTAGGGGGCAGTATACACACTATTACTGTTCAAGCTGAAACTTGTTTTGTTTTTAAAAGGCCATGAAACCCCCTTGTTTCAGCAGGGTGTTTTCACACCTCTACTTTGGCAAAAGTCAGAAAAGTGGGCGTGTCCAGATCTGTTTAGGGGGGAGTGTCGGAGGAACAAAAGAGGGATGGTGTGGGAGTGTCTATTTGGGCACGAGTTTCCGAGTCAAAACACACACACAGGGGAGAAAGTGACTTTACATAGACATCTGTAATCGAATAATTTGCCAAATTATAAAATGTTGGACTTTAACTGCAGTTTGGCTCTTTCATTCAGTGAATTCATTCATGCCTCTCGTGACAAACGATATATTTGATTCGAGGAACTGCTCTAAGCGTGTATTTTTCATGCAATTTTTGATACGGCACGGCGAATGAGAGAAAAAAATTAACTCTACATATCTCTGTAACTTAGATGCACTCGGCAGGTAAGCCACGTGTGTTATTACAGTCACAAAATGCAGTGAAAATCCTACACGACGGTAATAAGTTTGGTTGTGGTGCTAACATGTTTACACTTGGTGCAATAGTTAGTTCGATATGAACAAACTGAATAAACGTCGCTCACTTACCAAATCTGTAGAGACAGGACCATCCAAAGCAACTAGAAGCGCGAAGAGAAGCGAATCCAGATCTTCATTTGCAGAAAAGAAAAGCTCTCGGATAAACAATGTTCCTAGACACAGAAATTATTGTTGTCGCACGTCGCGTGCACTGTAATCCACACGTTATTCCAGCTGAGCTCTCACAAAGAGAAAACAAAACTTCACTTCAGCAAATTATGAAAGCAACACTGCACGCTTGTTTTGCCAACACAATGTGGCGTCTCTGTCGTGACGCCGTCTACACTGTAACATTAATAAATATTAATGAAGTTGCACAATAGAGCGCGCTGATTGGTTTGAACCAAGTCTTACTCATGCATTAATGCATCACACTCAGAGATGTAATACGGTACACCCAGGTACAGACATCCAGTCTACACGCTGGAATACATGCTAAGATCTCATGACCGTGACGCAGCTTCAAAAATTTGTTTCAAACCGAAAGTACGAATTTGCTCAAAATAACACAAAAACAACCAATTTTCACTTTTTAGTGAGATATGTGTGTCCTAATAGTGTTTTAGCAGTGTGGGACACATATACGACTTACAACAGCTCAAAAAATGAGTTTTGGTGTTTCATGACCCTTTAAAGGGGTGGTCCAGAATGTAATTTTAAGGTTTGGTTGTTTATAAGATGCAAAGCAGTGTGTGCTCATGCTTCACTTGTAGAAAATCAGGTTATTTTTATACTTATTCTGATTATATACAGCTACTCAGATGAAAACAACTGTAATATTTCTTAGTTCCTCCAGAGGCCTGTCCTCGAGAGCTGACTCTGATTGGTCAGATAATAGAATATGTTGTGATTTGCAAATCAGCTCCACGTCACCAGGAAAAGCATCATACGGTCATGCCGCAAAAAACACGTGCTTTTGCGCTGTTGTAAGGGTCCATCTATTTGTCCTATGACTGAACTAACAGCATGATTGAAGGTTAAATGCCTGTAAGTCTTTTAACACATGTGAAAAGAAATATTTTTATTTGTTAAAGTTTATTTTAATTTGTTCCCAGTTCAGACTATTAATCTGACACCTGTTTATTTAATAATTTTTTATTTAAATTAATCTAATTCAAGCTGATCACCTTATAGGTCATGATTAGGTCGAATTTAGATTGATTAACCTAATAAATCCTTATTTTCAGTTATTGGTTCATCGTTATAAGAGCCACAAGTTCAATGTTTTATTTATGTTAAATTAACAGTATTGTGAAAGACAAAACTTGAAAATATTTTACTAAAAGTAATTTAATTTTTAATATAGAGTATATGCTGATGTCACTTCCGGGAAGGAAGAAGTTGTGTCATGAAGATAGAAGCAAGACAGTTTTTTGACCGTGTAATGTAGTTCAGTTAAGTTGTTATTAAACATTTTGGAAACGACATCACTGGACTGTCTTATGTTACTCGTGTTCAAATCCTGCTAATTTAAAGAGAGAAGCAGGACAAGAAGAGACAGATCGATGGCACAAACAATCATTTACCCAAAGTCGCTTAGAGTCAGTATGCTGCCCAGTTCCATCTGCTCGTGGACAGATACATCCTTGCCAGTTCTGGTTCTTAGCAGATAAGCTAATTTCCTATAAGTAATAATAGGTCGCCCCATGCCCCATGAGCATACTTAAAGAAAGGTTGATTTAGCCCCTAGATTATATCAGGAATATATGTGATTGTCAGGAATAATCAGGTCTCTAATGCTGTGTCTATGCTCCATCCATCGAGCCTGAATGTATGACTAATCCTAGTCGTAGGCTGCGGAAACATCAGCCTAAACAATCTGCTAGATTTAGGTGATTTCAGGAGATATTAGAGTTGAACAATAATCTTGCATTTATTTGTCGGTCAAAGATTTTCCCTTCCAATTCATATAATTAAACCAAATAAGCCAATCAAGATTGTACACCATTAATTAATCAAAGATACATTTAAGAGTTGTAGATGAATACCTGACCATGTAGAAATACATTGCAGAATACAAGTCCTGATGCAGAGCTCAGACTCACAACCTGCAATGGGTTATCCTGTCTACAAGATCCCATAGACACTTCTGCACCTTTTGCCTAAATACTCAAATCATCATAAATTCAAGACAATTAAAGCTTCACCAAGACTCTTGTCTGGTCATGAGTTGATATGAAGACCATTTTCCCTGGAGTGGAGCATCTGGCAAAGATCTTATCAAAGTCAAAACCTAAATTAACTGATATAAGGGAGATTGTAAAATATTACAGTGAAACTAAGACCATTTTACCAATCACACAGAGACATTTAAAATTACACCAAACACAACACCAATCACAAGATACACCATATTAAAAACTTAGACATTCTGTGTGGAGCTCCTCTGATAAAGAAGGTAAAGTCCAGGGCAAAGAAGGGGGCCACAGGATGCATGATCAAGACAACCTGAACAACTGGCTTTCTAGCTGATCTTCTCAGATTAGAAAGTCTATTGTTTTAGTGCCTGACCATTCTCGTGGTCTTGTCTCATTTAGAGTTCCATAACAGTTTTCAGGGTTTAATATTATGGAGAGATATAGCCATCTTTACATTGTGTAAATAGTGTCAGTCAGAGTAACTGTTATACATATATTCGGATTAAGCATGTGTAAGTAATATGAAATGTTCTCATATCTTTAGTGAGTCAAGTTTGTTATTTGAGATGAAGAACGCACAGAATGTCACGGTTGATGATGTATGCGCTCTTTCTGTCATGTTGTCACGTGGGATTGTTTTTTATTCTTTCATGTACTGCTGTTGTGTGCTGTGATCACGTGACTCACTAACTAGGATCAGCTGGTCTGTCTTCAGCCTAGCTATTGGCTCCTAGCTTCTTCTATTCAAGAAGTGTCATTTATGTGCTTCATTGTCAGTTTGTTACTCTTGTTTATGGCTTCTCTGTGTCTTGTCAGGAACCTTGTTTATCTGGTTCACTCTTGAACTCTCAGTTACCCAAATTCAGCTACTGCCTTTTCTCCCGATACTGAATATGTTTGCATTTTTGCTCGCTGAATATTCCTGACTTCATTTTATAAATTTTATTTGCAATTGAATCCATCTATCTAGTGTGTTTACCTGAACATGACATAACAAACTGACCATTCAACATGGATCCAGCAAGTCTCACACAGATCTCCGAATTTTTAACACAGAGTAGCGCTCGCATGGATCATCTACTAATCAGGCCGTCCAGAATCTGGTCACGCAGGTAATCGCCCTTACCTCTCAGGTTCAGCTGCTCACCGGAGAAGTCCTCACTTTGGAGCCCATGCCTGCTCCACTTACAGCTGCAGTCATGGAACCCTTAAATCCTCCATCTGTTCTTCGTCTTCCTCCACCGGCTTCATATTCCGGAGAACCTCTGATGAGTCACTCGTTCATCACAAAGGGTTCATTGTATATGGCATTATAGCCATCCCAGTTTTCCACCGAGAAAGCCAAGGTGGCTTTTGTTGTTAATCTCCTCTCTGGCAATACGGCCTTATGGGGGTCAACGGTGAGGGATCAAAAGCTCCCTTGCTGTGAATCCTTCACGACCTTTACTGAGAAGTTGAAGAAGGTGTTCGACCGGGCAGCCTCTGGAAGAGAATCGGCACGCTTCCTGTCTGATTTGCGTCAGGGCACACGCAGCGTGGCTGATTGCGCCATTGAGTTCCGCACGTTGGCAGCTGATCCGGATGGAAAAAGCTCAATGGGACATGTTTTTACACGGTCTTTCTGATTATATGCTTAACGAGGTGTACACTTTAGACCTCCCCAAAACCCTAGATGGATTCTCTGCAAAAAAAGCAACGAAGACAATCAGAGGGTCTTTGTTTTTACTGCGGAGGGGCGGGGCACATTGTGGCTTCCTGCCCTTTAAAAGCCTCCACCCGTCACTAGGTAAGAGGAAACTGACGGACGGGATTAACTTAAAGGGCCATGAAACCCCCTCGTTTCAGCAGGGTGTTTTCACATCTCTACTTTGGAAAAAGTCAGAAAAGTGGGCGTGTCCAGCTCTGTTTAGGGGGGAGTGTCGGAGGAACTAAAGTGGGAGGGTGTGGGAGTGTCTATTTGGGCACGCGCGAGTTTCAGAGTCAAAATACACAAACAGGAGAAAGTGATGGTGTTTAACCTACATGGACATCTGTAGTCGAATTATTTGCCAAATTATTAAATGTTGGACTTTAACTGCAGTTTGGCTCTTTTTTTTTTTTGAATTTGAGGGAATTCATTCATGTCCCTCGCGACAAACGAGATATTTGATTCGAGGAACTGCTCTAAGCGTGTATTTTTCATGCAATGTTTGATACCGCACGGCGAATGAGAGAAAAAAAATCCTCAGCATTTTCCGGAAACTTAGATGCACACGGCAGGTAGTGTCAGAAAGCCGCGTGTGTTATTCCGGTCACTAAATGCGTTAAAAACCCTACACGAGGTTAAAGTTTGGTTGTGATGCTAACATGTTTACACTCGGTGACTTGGTGCAATAGTTAACTTGGTTCGATACGAGCAAACTAAATAAACAAAGAGCGCTGGTCGCTCACTTACCAAATCTGTAGAGACAGGACAATCACCAGTAACTAGAGCCGCGTCTTTATTAAGAGAATACTACAAGCGAATCCAGATCTCAGCGTTTGCAGATGAGAACAGCTCTCAGGTAAACAATAATCCTCCTTAGACACGTGAGTTATTGTTGTCGAGTGTCGCGTACACTGTTAATCCACACGTGACTCCAGCTGCGCTCTCACAGAGAGAAAATGAAAACAAAACTTAACGGCAGCAAACTTTAAAAGCAACACTTCACGCTTGTTTTGCCAACACAACGTGGCGTCTCTGTCGTGAAAACACTGTGACACTAATGAATATTAATGAAGTTGCACAATAGAGCGCGCTGATTGGTTTGAATCAAGCCTTACTCATGCATTAATGCAGCACACTGTAAGACGTAATAATACTCACTCTGGCACAGACGTCCAGTCTGCACACTGGAATACACGCTATTATGTCATGACCGTGACGCAGCTTCAAAAATTCGTTTCAAACCGGAAGTACGAATTTGCTTGAAATAACGCAAAAACAACCAATTTACACTTTTTAGTGAAATATAGGTGTCCTAATAGTGTTTATAGCAGTGTGGGACACATATACGAATGTCAACAGCTCAAAAAATGTGTTTTTGTGTTTCGTGACCCTTTAAGGGAATCCTCTGTTGCTGTCAAATCACTTCCTGTCGCACTGTCTTAGGCTAATATTATTCAGAACAGTCAGGCTCTTGTGGATTCGAGAGCAGAGGGGAATTTTATTGACACAAGTTTTGCTTTTAAGTTAAGACTTCCCGTGATTCCCCTGACTTATTCTATTTCTGTGCATGCGCTTTGTGGGCTTTCCCTTCCCTCTATCACTCACTCCACAGGTCCCATCAGACTGACTGCATCAGGCAATCACTCTGAACTTACAACTTTTTTTAACAGACACCACTAATTTGTCAGTGGTCCTTGGACATCCATGGTTGGCTCTTCATAAACCTCATATTATTTGGGGCCAGAATTCTGTTACGTCTTGGAGCCATCAGTGTCATGTATCTTGTCTCTCGTCTGCTCGTTCAGCTATATCTTGTTTTGTGTTTTAGAAATATATTTCTGATTCTCTAGCAGCTATGATCATCCGTCCCTCTTCATCACCGGCGGGATTTTTTTTTTTTTCGTGAAGAAAAAGGATGGTTCTCTATGCCCGTGTATTGATTATTGTGGGCTGAACAACATCACGGTAAAGAATACTTATCCTTTGCCGCTGATTTCTTCAGCCTTTGAGGGTCTGCAGGAGGCATCCTTCTTCACGAAATTAGATCTTTGCAATGCCTATCATTTGGTTCGCATTAAGCAGGGTCATGAATGGAAAACTGGGTTTAATACCCCCAGGGGGCATTTTGAATATTGTGTTCTTCCTTTTGGACTTTCCAATACCCCCGCAGTTTTCAAAGCACTCGTTAATAATGTGGTGCAAGATATGATAGATCAGTTAATTTATGTCTACCTGGATGACATTCTGATATTTTCTTGTTCTCTCCAGGAACATGTGCAGCACATCAGGCGAGTGCTTCAGAGGCTGCTAGAGAATGGGCTTTATGTCAAGGTGGAGAAATGTGTTTTTCATGCACAGTCTGTGCCCTTTTTGGGACACATCGTGTCAGTAGATGGATTTCACATGGATCCAGAGAAGATTCAGGCTGTGGTGAATTGGCCAACTCCAGATTCTCGCCAGGCCCTGCAGAGGTTTCTGGGTTTTGCCAATTTTTACCGGTGTTTTATTCGCAATTTAAGCCAGCTCGTTGCTCCTCTGACTGCCTTAACCCCCCCCAAAACTCCGTTCAGATGGCCGAGCGCAGTGCAAGCTGCGTTCACCAAATTGAAGTCTTGTTTCGTTTCCGCACCTATTCTCGTTGCTCCTGATCCTTCTCGGCAGTCTGTGGTGGAGGTTGACGCGTCAGAGGTGGGGATGGGAGCCATCCTGTCTCAGCGATCCGCTTCGGATGGCAAGATGCATCCCTGTGCCTTTTTTTTCTCACTGTTTATTAGGGGTGTCACGATTTTGATTTTTAATCGAAATCGATCGAAATAAAAATTTCGGTTATCGAATCAAAAAATAGAATCATTGATGCTGCCACGCCCTCATGTCACGTCAGCTTGGCTTGCCAAGCGGGAAAAAAACAGGCTTATTGAAGTGCTTGTTTAACTGCAGAAGCAGGAGACCCGTCGCGGAACCTAAACCCTCTCCTCTTTCAATGAAGTCGCCGGTGTGTAAGCATTTTGGATTTCCAGTGTGTTATGTTGACAACTTTCGTGTTGTTGACAAAAAAAAACACAGTTTTGCAAGCTCTGCTATGTACGTATTACGTACGGTTCATCCGAGACATAGACAACACCGGCATCGCGATCCTCCGCCCGACCCCGTTGCAAATTCGCTCGCGAAAAGTACACACTCAGGCCCTGTTTACACTGTCTTTGTTTTTAAATGGCATTTTAGAATGACAACGATTTGACATCCACAGTGGCGTGTAGCATTCCTGAGCAGCCCTCCTTCCTCTCTACCTCTGAAAATGCACATCACGTGACCACACACACACAGAAGCACACACAGCCATGCGCTCGAGACAGCAGGTCCAGGCAGTCAGAGGACTGCTTCAATCTTTCACTCACTTGTACTTAGTCATTTTAGCGAACACCTCAGATACTGTTGGCTGGTTCCTGTTGGTTGTGCGTCTTTTTTACCGACGCCATTATAACGACACAGATCACTGCCTATTCACGAGTCCCGCAGAAAAAAGTGATTGACAGGTGGTAATTATGTGTGTATATTGCCTTTATTCATTTACTGTATGATTTGTTTACGGGTAAAACAAAGACCATGCAGGTCAGGTAGTTTAAACGGTAGGCTACAAATAATGAATTGGTCATTAATTAATTAATTATTCATAATCGAAAATGGAATCGAATCGTGCCTTTAGAATCGAAAATGTAATCGAATCGAGGATTTGGAGGCTCGTGACACCCTTACTGTTTACCCGCCGCTGAATGTAATTATGACATTGGTAACAGGGAGCTGCTGGCAGTTAAGCTCGCACTGGAAGAGTGGCATCATTGGTTGGGGGATTCTGGGGTTCTTTATCGTTTGGATTCATCACAAGAATCTCGAATACATTAAATCCGCCAAACATTTAAGTTCTGGGCAGGCTCGGTGGGCATTATTTTTCGGACGTTTCGATTTTACCATTTCTTATCGACCAAGAATATCAAACCTGACGCATTATTCTGTCTTTTTTTATTTTTCCGACCGTAAATCGTCCCTAGAGCCCATTGTTCCACAGAATATTTGTATTTTAGCTGTAACATGGGAGATCGAGTAAGTTTTGCACTGCCTTGGATGGTGTAACGCCCCCAGCCGGGTGCCCACCGAACTGCTTGTATGTGCCAGAGCAGATGCGGTCAGACGTCATTCGTTGGGGACACTCTTCTAAAGTGGCTTGTCATCCGGGGGTGAGTTGTACTTTATTTCTGGTTAAACAACGATTCTGGTGGCCAGCTATGGCTTGTGATATATGGGAGTATGGGAGGATGTTTTTGCTTGTTCTGTTTGTTCGGTTTCTAAGATTTCCAATCGCCGTGGTGGATTGGTTCAGCCAGAGAGACAGCGGATGCTGTCTTTGATCACGTTGATCACATTGGTTCACTTACATGGGCTCCTATCGGTCGTGGTTTCTAACAGTGGACCTCAGTTTATCTCTAAATTTTGGAGAGAATTCTGTCGTTTATTGGAGGCCACTGTTAGTCTTTCTTCTGGTTTTCATCCTCAGAGTAACGGACAAACTGAAAGAGCCACCAGGATCTTGAATGTATGTTACGATGTCTGGTATCCTAGAATCCCTTCTCCTGGATTCAGAAGCTCTCATGGGTTAAGTATGCGCATAACTCATTACCAGTGTCGGCTACGAACCTGTCTCCGTTTGAGTGTAGTCTAGGTTACCAGCCACCTATTTTTTTCTAGTCTGGAATTCGAAGTCGAGCTCCCCTCTGCCCACGCCTTTGTCCAGAGGTGCTGACGCACTTGGAACAGGGTCAGACAGACCCTTCTCCAAGTGGGTGCACGCACCAAGGCAAAAGCCGATCGCCACCGGTCTAAGCCTCTCGTTTTCGTAGTCAGTCAGAAAGTGTAGCTTTCACCTAAGAATATTCCTCTCCATTTCGTCTGTAATAGGCTTGCTCCCAAATTTATTGGCCTGTTCATTGTCACAAAAATTATTAATCCAGTGGCAGTCCATCATAAACTTCCTCCCGTGTACAGGAGAATACATCCCATATTTCATGTTTTTAAATTAAAGCCCGTTTTTCATACAGCCATTAACCCGCCCACTCCGGAATATGGTCTGTCTTCAGCCCAGCTGTTGGCACTTTTTATATAATTCTCTGGAACATAATTAAATTAAACTGTAAGCTGTCCATTTTAGCTTTCTCTGCTGTAACATTACAGTACCTCTGGTCACGCCCCTTGCACAGGGTGTGTGCTCATGGTGAATGTTCATAACCTGAAGTGCTTGTGATCTCATTAGCCCGGATGTATTTTTGTAGTCCCCAAACTTTGTTTGCTGTAGGCTTTGCTAAGCTAACTCTGTAAAAGCCAATGTCTCCCTTTGCATTGAACTTTGAGTGTCTTACATTCAGAGATGTTGTTTATGTTCAAATAGCTGCATTACACATCAACTACAGTTTAACATATGATATTGTAGTGGACCACCCCTCTAAGAAAATGGCTTTTTACGTTAAGGACTTTCATTAAAACTCTGCTGCGATCAATAGAATCTGTAGAAGCTACATTTAAATGACATTTTAGCAGTTTAAACCAATCAGCACCATACTGCCAAACAAATGCCAACGGTAGTAACTCTGTTTTTGGATATTAGTTATTGAAATTTTTGATAAATTCCTCCTTTATTACATGGACATCTGAATGTGGATAAACTCTTGAAATAAGTGCCACACAATTAACTTGCTGCAGCATTTATGCACTGTAAAACTTAATATTTTTTTTTTATTTACAGTTGATATACACGAGTGGATTCACACCAACTGTAAGTAGATTAAACTATTGACAATGAGTATTTTGCTTTGTCTCTGTGTGTGTATGTTTAGTAAGTTTAATGTCTTGTGTTTTTAAGTCCTAGAAAATAATTCTGAAAAACAGAAGCTGAATCTGGTGCTGTGTGGAAGTGATGGATCACTTAAGGTCTCAGCATCCAAACTTTTACGAGGAAAACCAATTACTATTTCACACCAGAGATCAAGCAGTGAAGATTTTTTTAAGAAAGAGGAGAAGGTTCATAGTTATCAGACCAGTCTTGTGAATCTTCCAGCTCTCACTCGTCTCTCAGAAGATGAAGTGATGAATCAGACTCTGAACTGTGTCTCTCTGTCTGATCCTGGAGTTCATGCTTTCCTCCTCATTATTCCTGTTGGACCACTGACTGATGAAGACAAACTGGAAGTTGAGAAGGTTTTGAATATATTTGACACCAAGCAGCATCTCATAGTGATATTTATCAGTGATGGCACAATTAAAAGTCCAGTGAGGGACTTCATAAAATCCACCCCAGAATGTCAAAAGTTGATCAGTCATTGTGGAGGTCTTTACTGTGTCATGGGTCTAAAAGAACCTGCAAGCTCAAGACAGATCCCAGAACTGCTGGAGTATATAGAGAAGACAAAGACTAAAACATATTCGACTCAGATGTTTGTGAAAGCTCAGAAAAACAGAGGCAGACGTGAAGTAGAGGAGAAATATCAAGAAGAACTGAAGAGACTGAAGAATATAATCAAAGAGCTTCAAGAGAAGGGTCAGTCAGAAGGTGAGTGTGTTAAAGTTTCTGCATCTTCATCAGTATATAGCAATATTTCTCTTGCAAGTCTGGTCATGTAGAATGAGAGCTAGATTTCCACAATCCATCAATGAATCTTTGAGTTGGTCAGTAAATGTCAGCACTGAAGTTGCACAGACTCATTCTCCTGTCAAATTCAGAGTTTAGTTAATTTCAGGATGCCACTTTAATGCAGGAGAAGAGAACATGTTAGAATTTGTGATTAATTTGCCCACTATTACATCAAAACACTTGAAGTACGTTTTTAGAAGTGCTAAGATTTGCAGTTGTAGACACTTTTTTGTAATTTGCCTGGTTAGCTGATCATAGTAATCTAACAAATTGCCAAAGTCAATTATGATTTTTCCTTGGTAAAAAAAAAAAAGTACTTGAAAGTGTAAACTAATGCCTTTAATAAAAAGAAGCCTAAAGCCTCAGTAAGTAAGTTTACATGGACACCAATAATTAAATTTTAATACGATTAAGACAATACTCTGATTAAGAGTTAACCATGTAAACAGAGAGTTTTGATTAATTTAATCCAATTAAGGTGATAATTAAACTAAAGAGAACTGGAAGAAAGACATATAGAGTATGCCGATCTTAGTCGCATTATTGAAGTGCAGTACAGACATGTAAACACCTTAATCAAACTAATACCGTCATGCAGGACTTTTCACCGTGTTTTGAGACAGGATAGTCCACACACACACACAAACACACACACACACACACACACACACACACACACGACTGTGTTTGATTATTCTTTGCATCTACCCTGTCAGTGAAGACCACAGACACTTGCATCGTGAAATGCTGAGTTTTATTTTCTTCTATTCAGCATGTGGTTTGAACTTCCATTAATATATCACTCCTCCAGCAGTTCATACTCACAAACAATATCTTGTTTGTCACGTGGGGCATGCAAGAAATGTTCCTGATTGAAAGTGAAAGTGCCAAACTGCAGTTAATGTGGACAAATTTAAAATGAAACACCTGAAATTACATGAAACTCCGGAGGAAATGTGACTCAATGACGTTAATCAAATTGTGTGCTATAACATGTAAAATGGGTACATGAAATGAACATTCAAAAAGCAACTCATGTAAACGCCTTAATCTTATTATTGTCTTAATTAGATTAAGGCAAATAATTTGATTACTGATGTCCATGTAAATGTAATAAATGACAAGTTAGAAAAGTAGCAAGTAGCATTTTTTTTGGCACCAGTCCTTTGGATTTCTTTCCCATTTATCATCTTTATCAAATTAAAATTGTATCCATTGTATCCTTTTCTTCCATATTTATATATTTTTTTGTAAACAAACAAAAGAGACACTGTTAATGGCCGTCTGGTCTTTGTGTGACCAGAGCAGGAGTTTGGTTCACATTGCTGGCAATAAGTCCAACTTCACTCTAAAAATAATTTGGTGAATTTTTAAAGTCACAAACGTGACTTAAATACTAATTCAATAGTTCACACTTAGCTGATGATTTATAAGATTCCTCCCGTTGGCAGAGCGAGAGGGGAGCCTGAGCTCGGTGGATCTCAGAACTCCCTGACTGTGGTAGCTAAGGGAACAGAGGGGTTAGATAAATGCTTAATTGTTATACATGTTGAATTTCTTTGGATGGTGGGAGGAAACTGGAGAACCCGGGGAAAACCCACACAGACACGGGGTGAACATACAAACTCCTCACAGAAACACCCACCAGCCCTAAGGGACCAGGGCCGGCAGTGTTCTTGCTGTGGGGCTCACAGTGCTAACCACTGGGCCGCCATGCCGCCCAATCAGAGGTAAAGGAGGAGAATAGGGGAGGAGGGGCCCTATAGTAGCTTAGGGCTCATATGATTGGAAGATAGTAAATATAGCCAAATATGGGACCGGCCGTGATAAATCATAAGCACGTAATCCTCTCGAAATTAGTTTATGAATATATTTCACTTCAAGAGTTCACATTTAGCTGATGATTTATAAAAGCTTGTTTGGCATGCTGTCCCGGGAGAGAGCCCCGATCTCAAGGGATCCTCGAGCCCGGGGCTTCCTCCCGTTGGCAGAGAGGGGAGCCTGAGCTCAGTGGACCTCAGAACTCCCCAAGTTGCAGTAATTAATCGCTCAGGACAGCAGCCGCGTATTTATGAAAAAAAAAAAAAAGCAAGGAGAATAGAGCTATATCCGGCTGCTGGATATAATGTGGAAGGAAAGATAGGTTTAAGCAGGAGATATAAAATAGGTGGGGTTACAAAGGGTAAAGAGACTGGAGCTATAAGGGGGCTGGACATAATGTAGTAAGATGGAAAAAAAGGCCTCCCGTCTAGAGGGGAGAAGAGAGGTAAATAGAGTAGAGTGTAGAAGAGAGGATTCGGGTAACTCCTGCAGGAGTTGGAGCTCGAAAAGACCCCTGCGGGGGTCAGAGCTTGGGGTGATGTCTAAACAGTAGAGAAGAGGTGATTGGAAGTAGAGTGTAGAAGAGATGATTCTGGGTAAATCCTGCAGGAGTTGGAGCTCAAAGATACCCCTGCGAGGGTTAGAGCTTTGTGGTTGGGTCTAAAAAGGAGAAGAAAGTGGTTTGAAGTAGAGATCTGCGCGGGACTAAATTTTGAATCCTGTTCCCGCCCGCACCCGCCAGGTTTTAGCCCAAACCCAACCGCTCCCGCATATATTAAGCATTTGTTGTCCCGCTGCCTGACCCGCCCCGTTTTCTACCCATCGTGCCTGACCCAGCTATACAGTCCAGACAGCCTATAACAAGCTGTCTGTTTAACCAGCCCTCAATTTTGGGGATTTACTCCTACCTAAGTTTTAACAATTAAAAATTTTAACAGTTCCTGACTCCAGTAAGCTACAAACACATAATATGTATCATTGGAAAGAAGACAATTTGAGCTTTACTGTGGTAAAATGAGAAGTTGTATGTTAAAAAATATAAAAAGTTAAACATTATGAAGTCATGAGGAAATAAAATTGTATTGGTTTAATTTTAGTTTTCCATATAGAAACACAGGACAACATTAACGTAATGTCCTAGACAAAATATGACTTGAAAGCCAAGTATTTCATATGTTTACATTTTAAATTTGATGAAGATAGCATGCAAAATGAGATTACTGTAAAATGTTTTCTGAGGCTATGTCGATGTCCTTCTCTCCCTTACCGTCAAAGGCACTTTCTCAAAAATCATCATTAAAACATTTACAGTTGCTGAATGATTTGGTCTACATTCACAGTTTATGTATCTTTGGAAAGAAGACAATCACGGCTTTGATATCCATCATCTAGAGTTTATAATGCTCAAAATGAAAAAAGTTATAGATGCTTAAGTAATGTAAAAAAAAAAAAATCACCATACTAAACATTTTATTATTTCATAAACGAATATGTGAAATTTGTTCTGGAGCAACACAGAAAAGCAATAGATCAAAAGCTACACATCTCCTGAGTATATATTTTGAATTTGATGCCAATATCATGCAAAATTTAATTTTTGGAATTATTTTTCTGAGACAATGTCTTGTGTTTTCCCCTCTCCTTGTTTGTGGAGAAGTCTGATGACCACACCTACTGAAGGTTTCACTATTTTTTAAATTGTAAAATAATGAGCAGAAATGTATAGTATGAATGATTTATTTGAGCACAAGTAGTACATTTCAGCTACATGACAAAAAAAAACTGAATTAGGATTCTATTGAAAACAATTGTTTCCCCTCTTGAGCAGCAAACACAATTTACTCTGATGCCCATTTATTAATATTTTAATTTTTACAGATAGCTTAGCTTATAGCAGCCATTCAGATGAATGACAAAACATACTGTATGATAATAACAACCATTACTGAAAGATTACCGGAGAGACATTCACACTTATAGGCACAAGCAGGCTAAACACAGAGAACTGAGATGTAAACAACAAGGCAATGAGAGTAAATTCTCACTGTTAGAAAAATTAAAACTATCAGCTCTCCTCAGAAATAGTGTCCTCTTCGTTTCAAACAATCTTTTAAAACTCTCTTCAGCAGATTACAACTTTTTACGATGCACTTTCAGTTTTCTTTTTGCAAACAAGCCGCTCTCTGTCGTTAGCCTGCCCTGAACTGTAGCAGCTGTGCTGTAGAGGGCAGGTGCGATCGAGTGATGATTGACAGCTCTCTGAGCCACTAACACTGCAATAACATTGCAGCTGAGCAATAGGATCAAAATTCTTGCAGCCATTGGTTCGTTTCTCTATCAGTCAACCTTCTGGGAAGAAGGAAGTAGCTTCTGACGGAGCAGTGACTGAAGCTGCGTCTCAAATGGCACACTATACAATATGCACTCATGCACTATGTACTTATGCACTTACCCACCCAACAGGATAGTATATGTATGTAGTGTCGGCCCAAATGTCCCAAATGGCCCAAATGACACTAATGTTTTTTTACTAAGCGGAAATTCAAACCGTTTCCCTGATGATGTTGGACGGTTGCCAAATCATTGAAGTAAATGACCGAATTATCAAATAATATCTGCCATGAGTATAACCGCATTCACCATCGGGAGGCGCTATAATCACTCTCGTAGAAGAATTTTAATTTAATTTAATTTAATAGGCGTTTTCTGCAAAACTTTAAACAAATTTAGCAAATACATTCTTTATAAGCTTTCCACTGAAAAACAACTAGCTGCAATGGCTGCTTAGGGGATGTAGCTTTTAACTGATGTAGAGTTTTTCAAGATTACTCTTGTCCTTTTTGGTGTAATCTATTCATAAACATTGACATATGGAAAAACAGCACCTCAATACGACCTCACCGGTGAGAGAGCAGTCTGAGGTGATGGGTAGTGTCTTTTATCGGCGGGTTGTAAGCCCGCTCCGCCCGCCGTACCATCCATATCTCCTGCTCCTCATCGAAGGTGCCCACCTGCGAGAGCTGCACCGCCCACGCACACGCCTCTGGTGAAGCGAGCGTGACGAGCACCTCGGAAGCAAGCAGCCCCCCTGCCTAAAG